AAGGGCGGCGGGGCCGCTGAGAAGGGCGGCTCGAAGAGGTGAGAGCCCGGAGCGCGACTCGGGCTGAGCGCGCTTCCGGCAGGAAAAAAAGATCGATGTGGTGGGCCCTAGGCACAGTTCCCACGGGGGAACCTGCTCGATACCATGAGAAAAGTAGAACGAGAATGATTGACTAAGGAATGGAAGTGATACAAATATGCAACCCTAGAAATGTGTACCCCATATGGGCTACCCCACTATAGCCTACACAATATTATAATTTGACACCATATGCAACATGATGCTTCAAATCAAACCTGAAATTTTTTTATACAAGAAAACATCCGCTGAGATACCGTCATACCCCGGATATTAGCGCCACCCTCGGATAAGCGCCTGACGCTTTTAATTGGCGTGTGGCGCTTATATCCCTGTGAAGAATGAGGAATGATTGAACTAGGAAAATATTGGATACAAATATGAAACCCTAGAAACCTGTACCCCTTAGTGTCTACCCCACCAGAGCCTACAAAGACTAAGTCATATATATCTGACACACCTCCATAGGCAAAGTGGGGGAGAACTAGGGGTGACAAGACCAGTCAAGCAAAGCAACGGTTCAAACGTCAGCACACATTCCGTGCATCGGTTCAAAAGCCACAAGGCCAGTTCACATGCAGGATCATATATATAAAGGTAAGCAAGCAAGAGCAGGTATATATAGATCACAGTACAAGGAAGGTCAAGAAGTAAGCAAGTGAGGCCAACTAGGCACAAGACCTAACATCGTACAAAAGCGCTGATGATCACAAGGCTGAAGTGCCTTGGTGAAGATATCAGCAGTGTTGGCCTGAGAGGCCACGTAAGCAAGACGCAACTCACCACGCTGCTGCAGCTCATGAGCAAGGAAGTAGCAAAGAGCAATGTGCTTCGTTCTGTGCTCCAGTCTGTGCTCCCGACACAAGGCCAGCATGGCCTTGTTATCTACGTACAGAATTGGAGGAGAACGAGGCGGCTCTCCTAGGTCAGTCAGCAGGTAAGTGAGCCAGCGTAACTCCTGTGCAGCCATGGCCCCTGCGAAGATCTCAGCCTCATAGCTGGAACTGAGAACAGAAAACGAGCGGATAGACCGCCACGAAACAGAGCCGGAACCAAGGCTGAAGGTGGAACCTTGTGACGACCGCTGCATAGCCAGGTCGTCAACCCAAGACGCGTCTGCGTGACCAGTGAGGACCACTAAACTCCGCCCTCCAAGCACGAGCCCCATGCCAGACGTACTGCACAAGTAGCGCAACACCCTCTTTGCTGCAGCCATGTGCTCTGGTCGATGTCTCCCAGGAGCAACATAGCATGCCAAGATGCTAAGAGGGTATGCCAGGTCAGGTCGAGTGCAGGTCATCAGGTACATGAGGCAGCCAACAAGCTCTGGGTACGGGCCACTCGACTCTACGGACTTATCCGAAGGCAGAGCTGAGAGTGAGTGGCAAGTAGGCAGAGGAGTGACCTGAGGCGAGGAGTACGTGAAGCCGAAGCGCTGAAGGACTTGCTGCACCATGTGTGACTGAGTCAGGGTAATGGTGCGCCGTGCTCTGTCCCGGGTGATCTGCAAGCCAAGGTAGCTGCGCAGTTCACCTAGGTCTGTGCACGTGTGTCTCTTCTGCAGCTCCGACTTCACGTGGGCGAGTCCCTTAGTGTCAGCAATAGTAAAGACCAAGTCGTCGACGTACACAAGGATGTAAAACGGCGGCAGAGTAGTGTCGGTTCGGAGAAACAGCGACGGGTCAGCAGTGGAAGGAGCAAAGCCAAGAACCGCAAGTGTAGTCCTCAGTGTGTCGTGCCACTCACGGGGGGCCTGGCGGAGACCGTAGACTGGCCGCCGGAGGCTCCACTGGGTACCAGGAGGAAACGACCCAGTGAAGCCAGGTGGGCGGCACAGCCAGATCTCATCGTGCAGGCTGCCCTTTAGGAAAGCAGTGCTGAAGTCAAGAGAGTGAAGCTCGTAGTCGCGCTGAGCGGCTATGTGCAGCAGCACCCGAAGAGTGGTCATCTTTGGGATGGGAGAGAAGGTCTGAAAGTAGTCAACTCCCTGCCGCTGACTGAAGCCTCGAGCCACGTAACGCGCCTTGAAGACAGGCGGAGAGCCCGGCGGCCGCTTCACCCTGAAAATCCTTATGCCACTGACGATGTTCGCCCCAGGTGGGGGAACCACGTCGACGTAGGTGCCTGTGGACTTCCACAAAGCCATCTCTGCGTCTATGGCTGACTGCCACTGAGAGGAGTAGGGACCCTCTATCGCCTCTGCATTAGAGCGCGGAGTCGGGATGTCTGGTGCATCCGGGTCTCCCTCAGGTGCAATCAGCATGGACACAAGATGAGGTAAAGCAGCAGCAAAACACTGGAATTCCTCCTGCCTGTCCTCAAGGACGTCTGTGCTAAGAGCACACTCACCCCTGACGGATGGAGGATAGACAAACTCAGACTCTGCAACGAGACTAGTGGCGTATTCTAGACGAAAGTGAGCAGCAAAGTCGACAAGCTCAGTGACTAAGGCAGACACAGCAGTGGTCTCAAAGGAAGGGTCAGTGACAACAGTAGCCAGGAGACGCGTGACAGCAGGGCTGGCAGCACGAAGGGAGACCGACTCCGGGTCGGCAAGAGCAGGAAGAGAGGACTCTGGAGGAGATGGCAAGGGGACACGCAGTGAAGCAGTAGAAGGACGCACTGCCATTTGGTGCGTGCCTTGGACCGCAGGAGGACGCTGACGCGGAACACGACGCCAAGTGCGAGCAGCACGAACAGGCGACGCAGGACGAGACGCAGGCTCACGACGCTCAGCAAGACTTCCAGTAGGACCAGTGTAGGGAGAAGGAGCAGGCCTCGGGGAGGCGGCTGTAACTGTGACTCGGACTGGACAGGCGGTGGACACTCTAAGGGAGGAGCAGGACCAGGAGAGGGCGGAAGACCAAGAACCTGCTCAAGGAGCGGAACGAAGTACAGCCGTGGCCGCGCAGCACCTCGAGATCCAGCAGGGACAGCACCAGCACCCCCTGCGTCAGCTCCAACAGCTCCAGCAGCTCCACCAGCTGCTCCAGTAGCGCCAACTCCAGCACCCACAGGAGCCCCGGCACCAGTAACACCTCCAGCTCCAGCACCTCCAGCTGCACCTCTAGCAGCACCCCAAGCTCCAGCACCGCAAGTAGCTCTCGCTCCAGCGGGACCACTGGAAGACAAAGCAGCTCCCGCTCCAGTACCTCCAGCAGCACCTACTCCAGCAGCAACGCCGGCTCCAGCACGGCCATTAGCTCCAGCTCCAGTAGCACCACCAGGCCCGGCAGCTCCAGTATATCCTGTAAGAGCACCTCCGGGACCCGTGGCTCCAGATTCCCCAGCAGCCCCAGCAATAGAAGGAACCCCAGCCGCAGCCAAACCTTCAGCGCTGAAAGCACCACCAGCTCCAGCAGCACGGCGCCAGCGCCTAGCAAACCACTCGCGCAGCTCCTGCGGAGAGATTGGCTCCCGCCGGGATGAAGCACCTGAAGGACCTCTAGGCCCAGCACCACCAGACTCCACACGAGTAGGCCCAGCACCCTCAGGCTCCGCACCCCTAGACTCAGCAACCCCAGGCTTAGCACCCCCAGACTCAGCACCCCCAGGCTCAGCACCCCCAGGCTCCGCACGCTCAGGCTCAGCACCCCCAGACCCGGCACTCGCAGGCTCAGCACCCCTAGCAGCACCAGAGTCAACAACTACCTCGACAGGCTCGACCGCGTCTACCTGGGACACACCTGAGGGGGCAGGACCCTGGGGGGGGAGGGGGTCTACCGGGGGGGGGACCTGGCGCAAGGAAGAGCGGCGGGGGGGGAAGGGGAGCAGAACGGTAGGGGAAGAGACGGTAGTAGGGAACCGGCTCGTTAAACGTGACGTCTTGAGAGGACAGAACACGGCGCGAGGTGGGGTGGTAAAACTGCCAACCAGGCGCGTCAAACGGGAAGCCAAAGAAAACGCCGGGAACAGCACGCGAGGACAGCTTGTCCGTAGACAAGTCGCGGACGAAAGCTCGAGATCCCCCGACACGGAACGCCGACACATCGCCAACCTTCCCGGTCCACAGCAGAGCAGGGGAGGTCTCCGGCATGGAGACCCTTGGCTGAAGGTTGATCTGATGCGCCGCGTACTGAACCGCGAACGGCCACAGAAATTGGGGGGCAGCCGCATGGATCATGGACGTACGAGCGACGTCCATGACCACGCCAATGCGGCGCTCAGCAATCCCATTTTGCTGTGGAGAGGCCAGAAGCGTGAACGCCTGGCGGATGCCTTCCGCACGAGAGAAGGCTCGCAGAAGGTCAGAGGAAAACTCTCCACCTCTGTCGGAGTGCAGATGCAGAACAGGAAAGTCCGAGCCAAAACTCTCTTTGAGCTGGAGACGAGCACCGCGGATCCAGTCGATCAACACCTCAGTGACCTCACCCTTACTGCGCAAGGGGAAGACTGTGGTGTAACGCGAGTAGTCGTCAACCACCCGCAGGAAGTAACGCTCGTGACCCCGTCCACGGACGCGGGTTGGGCCCCACACGTCCATGTGAAGCATCTGCAGTGGAGCCTCTGTCAGATGAAACTCGGAGTGAGGAGCGGCGCGCTGCTGCCCCTCGACGCAGGGAACGCAGGTAGGGGCAGGCCCCGGAGGAAGGGGAGGGAGGGACCGGGGGAGACCAGAGACAAGGACACGGGAGACCATGCCTCGGAGACGAGGCAGGGAGGGGTGACCAAGGCGGTGGTGCCAGAGGAGAGTCTGGTGGGACAGGAGACGCCACGAGCTGGGGGCAGACTCAGGACCGGACCTGGTTGCTGCAGCAAACACATGACCTGACGCAGCTACCTGACCAGACATAGGAACCAGAGGAGACTCGGTAGTCAGTGTGTACACGCTCGACCCCGGCTGACGGGTAAACGTGGCCAAGTGTCGGCCCGTCCGAGTACACGTACAGTGGGTCACTCGCTGACTCGCAGGAGTGAACTGGTCAACCCCCCCATCCTGAAGGTCAGCACCACTCACCAAGTTCATAGAGAACGAGGGGAGGTAAAGACCTGACAGGGTGCCAGAAAAGGGCCGCCGGACACGGTAGGACAGTGGAGAAGTGGGCAAGGACAGGACCCCCAAAGGGGTCTGCCAGGGAGACTGCAACTGGTCGACTAAGCGGCGTGAGTGTGGTGAGGTCTCGAAAGAAGGAGCGGGAAGCACCCGAGTCAAGAGTGAAGGTGTGCAAAACCTGAGCCGATGTGGTACCTGAGAGAGCAGACTCACCAGCACCTGGAGCAGCAGACTCACCAGCATCTAGAGCAGCAGACTCACTAGCACCTAGAGCAGCAGCCTCAATGCCCGGGTCAGGCGGCACACACAAGTAACAGTCACCGTCGTCACTAGTAGACACGACATACATGGCAGCAAGAATAGCATCATAATCAAGATCAAAGAGAGCAACCCTCGACCTAAGCAGCTCGCCCCAGCGAGGGATCTCAGTGGCGTCAGGGAACTGGAGACGCCAGGCGTACGTCAGGCGGCCAAAGCAGCGCTGGGTGGCGTGCGGGCCGCCGCACGGCTCACCATTGCGGTCGCCAGTACGCAGGACGTAGGCACAGGGACCTGCACCCCCACCCCGCTGACGCGCAGCGTACCACTCACGAAGCTGCTGGGGGGGCGGGGTCTCACGAGCGCGCTGCTGGTGCTGGCGCTGACCACCACCGAAGCCTCCCCGCTGCACAGAGCCACCCCAACCAGCTCTAGCGCCACTGCCGCCACCGCCGCAACCAACGCCTCCTCCCCTCCCATCGCCACCGCCGCCTCTGCCTCCGCCTCCACTGCTGCCACCGAAGCCCCCACCCCCGCCACCACTCCCACCGCCACCCCCACCCCCTCCGCCGCCTCCACCACCACCACCACCGCCCCCGCCAGCTCCTCCAGCGCCGTTGCCCCCCTTGCCCTTGCCGTTGCGGCGTCTCCCGCTAGAGGCAGACGCAGCGCCGACCGGCTCAGTGCCAACGAGGTCGACAGCAGCAGCAGAGGCAACAGAGGGCAAAAGGGGAATGGGGGAGCACCCCTCAAAGGAGGGGGTACGAGGGTCACCACGAGAGGCTCCAACGACTATACTCTTCTTAGCTACAAGGAGGCGCTCCTCGAGGAGGTCAACGGTGAGTGTGGTGGGGCAAACAGAGAGGAAGTGGTCCTTGACCGAGCGAAGGGAGTCAGGGAGCCGGGTGACTAGGTAGTAGAGGGTGATGTACATGGGGGGGGGGGGTTCTTGGCGCAAAACTCAGCACGAAGCGCAGCGCGGTAGCGGGTGTCACTAGTGCGGAGGTGCGTAATGAGGTCAGCGACTGTGGGAAAGGCGGCAAGGTCAGGGAACAGGTACGGCAGCATGAGGCGACTAAGGGCAGCAGTGGCAGGGGAAGAGTAGCGTGCAACTACAGCGTTGTACAAGGTCTTAGCACTCTTGTACTGACTAAAGTGCGCGCACTCAGTGGACGGCAGGTGACTACGCAAAGCAAGACGAGCAGCAGCATCCCGTGTTGCCCACTGTGAGCGTACAGTACTGTCAGCATCGGCAGTAGGGGCAGCAAAGGCGCCAGATGTGAGATCGAACAGTGAGAGACCGTCTTTTCTATCGCACTGCAGGAAAAGCTGCAGATCATCGACCCAGACCTCAAAGTCGACAGCACGACCCTCATCATCAAAGGTGAGCACATTGGGGGTAGCCATGACAGCAGCAGCAGCAGGCTAGCAGCAGTAGCGGCAGCATGAGTCGGCTAAAGGGGGCGCGGCTCGGCAGGGCGCTTACCAGTGGCGAGTGGGTAGGGTGGCCGCGACAGGAGTGGCAGGGCCGAGGTGCGCCGGCAGGGTCGGGGCCGCAACGGGGCAGCAGGGTAGGACCGCGGCTCGGCTGCAGGTCAGGGCCGGGGCAGCAGGGACCGCAGCAGTGGCGGCGGCTCGCGACACCAGCAGGGCCGGCAGCTGCTGTGGCGGCAGGGACGGCGACGGCAGCTGCTGCAGGGACGGCCGCTGCTGCAGGAACAGGGACGACGAGGCGAGAGGTCCGCTACAGTTGCAGTAAGGGTGACGGCAGCTGCTGGTGAGGCGGCGACGACGGGCCGCGAAGAGCCGCGAAGGGGGAGGGGGGGCCGCGAAAGCGCCGCCAAGGGGCCCGAAGGGGCCGCAAAGGGCCGCAGAGGGGCCGAGAAGGGGCCGCAAAGGGCCGCGAAGGGCCGCGAAGGGGCTGAGAAGGGGCCGCGAAGGGCCGAGAGGGGGCCGCGAAGGGGCTGTGAAGAGCCGTGAGGGGGCCGCGAAGGGCCTTAAGAGGGGTCGCGAAGGGGTCGCAAGAGGGCCGCGTAGGGGCCGTGAAGGGGCCGCGACGGGGCCGTGAAGGAGGGCCGCGAAGGGGCCGCTAAAGGGGCCGCGAAGGGGCCGCTAAGGGGCCGCGAAGGGGCAGGCCGCTAAGGGGCAGCGAAATTTTAGGGCAGGATGCGAAGCGCGCTTCGGGCAGTCCAAAATTTTTTTCAAAGGTGGGCCCTTGGAAGAAATGGTCCCAGTAGGGAACTCGCTCTATACCATGTGAAGAATGAGGAATGATTGAACTAGGAAAATGTTGGATACAAATATGAAACCCTAGAAACCTGTACCCCTTAGTGTCAACCCCACCAGAGCCTACAAAGACTAAGTCATATATATCTGACAATCCCCTACTCGATTATAAGCGCACCCATTGAAAAAACTTGTTTTATTATAAGCGCACATAAACTTTAAATTTTGAAATGTGTTCAAAACGCTGTAACGATGTTTACTTTAGCAGGCGGATGTGTTGCAGATTCGGTTCCGCTCACATTCGGACCCTGCACTGGATGCGGGTCCAGTCAGCAAGAGCTGTCAGGAGCTGGATGTGAGTCAGATTGGGTGTATCTCCCAGCGCGCGCGAGAATTTCACAGACGACCCCATGTAACTTCGACTGGATTGAAAAAGCAAGCACGAGATCTACAGTTTGGTGTTAAAAAATATAAAAAAACATATGTCATTTTTTAGACACCGGCGCTTATAAATTTACTCGAGTATAAGCCCATCCCCCCCAAAAAAACCTGTTTTATTATTGCCCCCCATGGGGGTATATCCGGGGTATGACGGTAGCATGCTTAATTTCAAGGTGTGAACACACATCAACCATTGAGTTTAGTACTCATGTGTGTACCTTGTAGCTTGATTAAAAATGTGCGAATTTCTGCAGGCCTCAACTCCACTACAAGAGAGTCAGAATGAAGGAAAGATTCTTGGGCTGACCTATTTTCATCAACTGCTGCCCCAACTTCCTCCTCTCCATCCACTCTCCAGGAGAGAGGCTGCCGCATATCTGCTCGTCTCTGATTGGCCATCAGACTCAACTCTGTCACCTCGTGGATCTGCTATGGGTGGATGGCAATGTGACAGTACGGAATGTTGCGTTTAGAGGCATGAAGATATGAAGTGTGATTGTGGAATGAGCAGGAAAGGAATAATACAGCCTGGAGTGTGATTGTATTACACTATGGTTCTTGGTTGACAGAAAAGTACACCTTTTACAAAGCACCTGTGAGAAAAGGTGTGAGAGCAGGAGAGAGGGATGAAGGGTAACCAGAGACGTGGCTTGTTGCAAAGAAACAACTGTTAAGGGATGACCACGATAGCATGTGATAGCAGGTGAGAATATAAGGTTTGCAGACCCGTTACTTGTTATGCTGAGTGGCAGGGTAACAAAAACGGTTACTTGTTTTGCTCCAAACAATCTCCGAAGGTCCACTTGAGCTGGGAGAGACAAGACAGCATGCTCGCCAGGCTGTAGGCAAGGATAGGCAGGGAAGCACATGGGGCAGGGAGGCAGACGAGGCAGGGAAGAGGCACATATAAGGCATGAAGGGGGCGTGGATTTACGTCACCTGAAACTAGGATCTTGACGAATTTTTATGAGGGGATAGTGAGACGACAGGAGGTATTTTGACAGGGGAGCGTGGATGTGAGTGGTAAGAGGAGGGCGGATGTGAGGGAGAATGTAGAAGTGAAGTAGGACGGAGAGAAGGCCGAGTGTGGGGAGATGTGAGTGTGAAGGGCATGAGCGAAGCACGGGTGTGAGAGAGGAGGGAGCGTGAGTGTGGTTGAAGAGTGTGGAAGGGGTGTGAGCGAGGGGGAATGTGAGTGAGAAGGGGTGTGAGTGTAGGAATCACCTCGTATAGGTGAGCTAGTCTCAGAACAACCTTGCTTGGGGAGAGCTCCTGCACGTGACAGTGGCACAAGCGAGTGCATCATCAAAGAAAGGAGACAGTGGCAGAAAGAGGTGGGCCAACCTTAGTACAATCGGTCTTTGATATTTCTCAAAAAGAAATGGTAGCATCACAGCACAGCACAGCACCGCACAGCACAGCACAGCACAGCACAGCACAGAACAGTACAGCATCCTCTGATAGAAGTTCTCGTGTGACTGCTGGTGGTGAGAAAACGGGGGTGATGATGAGTGAGGGGGCAGTCAACTACGCGTGTTGTAGGAGGGTGAAAAGGAAGGCAAGTTCCGTGCAAGGTGAGTTCCGTGGAAATGATTACTGAAGTGAAGGATACATGAGTGCAGTAGGAACGAGACACAGTGCTTTTGAGGCGCCCCTTACAACGCAACACAATGCTTGGAATGAGGTGGCTGATACCTGCAACGATATGACAGCAACGTTGGGAGGGCCTAGTAGGAGGAAGGTTCTGAGGCGCCTAAACAACCTTTGTTTAGCATGGATGAAACACTGTGCTTGCAACGAGGAGGCTGTTACCTGCATCGAAATGACAGCAGCGTTGGGAGGGACCGAGTAGGTGTCAAGGCTGCTGGATGACGTGGATGATGCTGACGTGGAGGGTGGCTGGGTGAGGGAGTAGTGCCACGTGTAGCTGCCTTGTGCTGCCCTGATGGACTTTTGAGTCTGCAGGCATAGGGATAGAGATATGACGGGGTTGGGATGGATGGAGAGAGATTCGAGTGTATTGGGGGTTGAAACAGAAGCTGGGAGGGTTGCAGGGAACGCAGAGCATGAGTGGGAGCGCATGGAAAAGGTGGGGATCATAGTGTGATGGAGAGGGTTTCAGAATAAGAGTTGAATTGATTGATTAGAGCCGTTGTGCGTGTGGGACATGCTTAGAAAGTATAAAGAGAACGCTAGGAGCCAAGCCGTTGTGCGAATGGAAGAGATAGATGATAGAAAGGGGGATGACAATGGCACGGCTCACTTCAACAGCAAAGGCGAGCTGCAGAGGGGTTAGGAGCCGTTGGGCATGCTCCCTCCTCCACTCGCTGCCCCGCCCCAACCATAGACAATCCCCCCCTTGCCCCCATTGCTCCCCTGCACTTTCTTCAGAGTCTGTGTTGGGGTGCAGGCCAAAGCGCAGAGAGCCCACAACCTACAGGGAAGGGGAGAGACGGTTGTTGCAGGGTGGGAGAGACAGTTGTTGCAGGGTGGGAGAGACGGTTGTTGCAGGGTGGGAGAGACAGTTGTTTCAGGGTGGGAGAGACGGTTGTTGCAGGGTAGGAGAGACGGTTGTTGCAGGGTGGGAGAGACGGTTGTTGCAGGGTGGGAGAGACGGTTGTTGCAGGGTGGGAGAGACGGTTGTTGCAGGGTGGGAGAGACCGTTGTTGCAGGGTGGGAGAGACGGTTGTTGCATGGTGGGAGAGACGGTTGTTGCAGGGTGGGAGAGACGGTTTTTGCAGGGTGGGAGAGACGGTTGTTGCAGGGTGGGAGAGACCGTTGTTGCAGGGTGGGAGAGACGGTTGTTGCAGGGTGGGAGAGACGGTTGTTGCAGGGTGGGAGAGACGGTTGTTGCAGGGTGGGAGAGACGGTTGTTGCAGGGTGGGAGAGACGGTTGTTGCAGGGTGGGAGAGACGGTTGTTGCAGGGTGGGAGAGACGGTTGTTGTAGGGTGGGAGAGATGGAAAGGTCTGACTTCAACAGTGAAAAGGCAAAGTGAAGAGGGGTTATGAGTGGCTGTGTGCGCTGCCCTAAGCGCAGAGAACCTACAAGTTGCAGGGCAGGGGAACGATGATTGTTGACTTTTGAGACGTATCAAAAGTCAACTTGCAGGGCAGGGGAACGATGATTGTTGACTTTTGAGACATGTCAAAAGTCAACTTGCAGGGTAGGGGAACGATGATTGTTGACTTTTGAGACATGTCAAAAGTCAACTTGCAGGGCAGGGGAACGATGATTGTTGACTTTTGAGACATGTCAAAAGTCAACTTGCAGGGCAGGGGAACGATGATTGTTGACTTTTGAGACGTGTCAAAAGTCAACTTGCAGGGCAGGGGAACGATGATTGCTGACTTTTGAGACGTGTCAAAAGTCAACTTGCAGGGCAGGGGAACGATGATTGTTGAGGGGTATGAGAGGTGGAAGGGGCTTGCTTCATGCGTTTTTTAAACCGCACTGTGAGCACACCAACTCAAAGCAGCGAGCACACCAACTCAAAGCAGCGAGCACACCAACTCAAAGCAGCGAGCACACCAACTCAAAGCAGCGAGCACACCAACTCAAAGCAGCGAGCACACCAACTCAAAGCAGCGAGCACACCAACTCAAAGCACCGAGCACACCAACTCAAAGCAGCGAGCACACCAACTCAAAGCAGCGAGCACACCAACTCAAAGCAGCGAGCACACCAACTCAAAGCACCGAGCACACCAACTCAAAGCAGCGAGCACACCAACTCAAAGCACCGAGCACACCAACTCAAAGCACCGAGCACACCAACTCAAAGCAGCGAGCACACCAACTCAAAGCACCGAGCACACCAACTCAAAGCACCGAGCACACCAACTCAAAGCAGCGAGCACACCAACTCAAAGCACCGAGCACACCAACTCAAAGCAGCGAGATCCTTTTGAGTCGACTCAGAAGTGACTGCCAGATAGTTTCATGCGTTTCTGGCGGCGCTGCAAGCTAGCTCGAAGCGCAGAGATCCCATGAACCCTGCAGAGCAGCCGGGGAGATCCAGTTGTCGCCGAATGGACATCTCTCGCTTACACGAGATTCGAGCCCGTGGCCAAGCGCGGAAGTGTGGAAGCACGGAAGTGTGGAAGTGCGGAAGCGTGGAAGTGTGGAAGTGCGGAAGCGTGGAAGTGTGGAAGTGTGGAAGTTTGGAAGTGTGGAAGTGTGGAAGTGTGGAAGTTTGGAAGTGTGGAAGTGTGGAAGTATGGAAGTGCGGAAGTGTGGAAGTGTGGAAGTGCGGAAGTGCGGAAGTGGGGATGTGCGGAAGTGCGGAAGTGTGGAAGTGGGTAAGTGTGGAAGCGTGGAAAGTCATGCTGTGAATAATGCAGCAAGCACTCACGGTGAGGAAGCGGGTCTTGTTGCCCAGTGTGATCCTCTCCTCCAGTGCCTCCCCCACGCCCTTGTCGTCCAGCGATGCCAGCTTCCTGGTGCCGCGTGGAAGGATGGGGGGAGATGGTGGGGGGGGGTGGGGGGAGATGGGGGAGGGGGTTTGGGGGGAGATGGGAAGGAATGAGGGGAGATGTGTGGGGGGGATGGGGGAAGATGAGGGGAGTTGGATGTCACGTTTGGGTGGAAAACGATGGAAGTGTGAAAGCATGAGAAACATGGCTCGCCTCTATCCATGCACATCAGAATGAAGGAGCTACACGACGACTAGTCCATGGCTTGCCATGGGCTAGTCATGGACATGGCTGCAACATGGCTTGCAACATGAGCATGGCTTGCAGCATGAGCATGGCTTGCAACATGAGCATGGCTTGCAGCATAAGCATGGCTTGCAACATGAGCATGGCTTGCAGCATGAGCATGGCTTGCAACATGAGCATGGCTTGCAACATGAGCATGGCTTGCAACATGAGCATGGCTGCAACATGAGCATGGCTTGCAACATGAGCATGGCTTGCAACATGAGCATGGCTTGCGCATAGCCCATGGCATGCCATGTTGCACAGGTGAGGGCAAGGCTCCAACACATAACCTTTTATGCATGCACCATGGCAAAAAGGTGACTTTTGAGTCGACTCAAAAGTCACCTCGTCATTCTCCTTGCATGCACCATGGCAGCACTGCATGCACCATGGTGGCAGCACTGCATGCACCATGGCAGCACTGCATGCACCATGGCAGCACTGCATGCACCACAGCAGCACTGCATGCACCATGGCAGCACTGCATGCACCCCCCTGTGCTACAGAGCCCTCCCACACCTGTGAAGCATGACCTAACCTGTGAATCATGACGTCACCTGTGAAGCATGACGTCACCTATGAAGCATGACGTCACCTGTGAAGCATAACGTCCATCTGGCCAGATGCCAGCCTGGCAGCGCCTGCCGCCCGGTCCACAAGCACCGACAACTGGGCTGCTTTGTCTTTCATGAAAGCTCCAACCGTTATCTGAAGTGAAGAGCAAGGAGTCGAGGAGAGAGAAAGGGAGGAGGCCAAGATGTGCCAATTCATAGACAAAGAAAGAGCAACACAACGGAACGATAGCTGCAGGGCGCGTCAAGCAGGAGAGAGAGGAGAAAGGCTCTTGTTGCCATCACGTTGGCTCTGGTTGACTTGCCAGCGCCACTCCTTCGATGGTAGATAGGACCACTTCCAACCGAGGGAACTTTGTTTTGCCCTCGAGTTGACTCTGCTGACTCTGGTTGACCTTGAGTTGACCCTGTTGACTTGCGTTGACTCACCGGATAGTAGTTCCCTGCTATGGGGTCGGTGACGTTAAGGTGCCAGTCGGACCGGTAGTCCACCACCTGACAGTGGGGTGGCGGGGTGGGGATGGTGGGGTGGTGGGGTGGTGGGGTGGTGGGAATGGTGGGAATGGTGGGAATGGTGGGGTGGTGGGGTGGGGATGGTGGTGGGGTGGGGATGGTGGTGGGGTGGGGATGGTGGTGGGGTGGGGACGGTGGTGGGGTGGGGATGGTGATGGGGTGGGGATGGTGGTGGGGTGGGGATGGTGGTGGAGTGGGGATGGTGGTGGGGTGGGTGGTGGGGTGGGAACGGTGAAGGGAGAGGGCATGGAGAAGGGAGGCGGTCTGAACGGGGTCGGTGATGTTAAGGCTCCAATCAGATGGTAGTGGTGTGGTGGGGTGGGGATGGTGGGGATGGTGAGCAGAAGGCATTCTGGGGCTTGTGAATAGGAGCGCTGGACAATGGCACTGGTTTCGTGGGCGCGTATATGTTTGTTGCAAAGGGAATGGGCAAGGAGAGGGCATGGAGAAGGGAGAGGGCATGAAGGAGGGAGAGGGCATGGAGAAAAGAAACACAAATCTGCAGTGAAGGCTGAGCTGCAGTGAAGGCTGAGCTGCAGTGAACGGGGATTGGACCTCCTAGTCCCTCTTACTGCCATTTCAAAACTCGATCACTGCCATTTCAAAACTCGATCACTGCCATTTCAAAACTCGATCACTGCCATTTCAAAACTCGATCACTGCCATTTCAAAACTCGATCACTGCCATTTCAAAACTCGATCACTGCCATTTCAAAACTCGATCACTGCCATTTCAAAACTCGATCACTGCCATTTCAAAACTCGATCACTGCCATTTCAAAACTCGATCACTACCATTTCAAAACTTGATCACTGCCATTTCAAAACTCGATCACTGCCATTTCAAAACTCGATCACTACCATTTCAAAACTCGATCACTGCCATTTCAAAACTCGATCACTGCCATTTCAAAACTCGATCACTGCCATTTCAAAACTCGACCACTGCCATTTCAAAACTCGATCACTGCCATTTCAAAACTCGATCACTGCCATTTCAAAACTTGATCACTGCCATTTCAAAACTTGATCACTGCCATTTCAAAACTCGATCACTGCCATTTCAAAACTCGATCACTACCATTTCAACTCGATCACTACCATTTCAAAACTCGATTACTGCCATTTCAAAACTCAATCACTGCCATTTCAAAACTCAGTCACTGCCATTTCAGACCTCCATTACTGTCTGCTAGTGCTGATGCTGATGAAGTAGTGAAGCAAATATAAGAGCACCAACAAAGTTTGGACGGGTATGCATGCATGCAGCCCCACCCATCCAATGTAGCTTCAGCGATTGGAGTAATAGTGAAATTTCTTGCTGCTGTTGATGGATGCTTGCTGTCGTATGGAGGAATTTCCCTGGTGTGTAAGTCGTGTTTTGAGTCGACTCAAAGCACGACTCCCTGGTGTGTAAGGAAGGAACAGCTGACCAGTCCCAACACCGCCTCGCCTTCTTGATGCGGCTCCAGCCAGCCACTGGAATCAGAGTAGAAGGTGTTGCTGCTGTTGCAGTGAGCTGTGACGTGAGCTTCTAGGCACCATCAAATTAAGGACTGTGTGCACTCATCTGAAAGGACTGTGTGCACTCATTTGAAAGGACTGTGTGCACTCGTTTGAAATGACTGTGTGCACTCATTTGAAAGGACTGTGTGCACTCATTTGAAAGGACTGTGTGCACTCATTTGAAAGGACTGTGTGCACTCGTTTGAAAGGACTGTGTGCACTCATTTGAAAGGACTGTGTGCACTCATTTGAAAGGACTGTGTGCACTCATTCGAAAACAAGAAACCTTCACCCGCTTGAGGTAGCTGCGGCCATTGGAGTCGGAGTAAAAGGTCCTGCTGCTGTTGATGGGCGCTGTGAAGAGAGCTTCCAGGCATTGACATTCATCCATTCATGTGCACTCATTCCAAGGTTAAAGCCTCTCACCCGCTTGAGGTAGCTGCGGCCATTGGAGTCGGAGTAGAAGGTCCTGCTGCTGTTGATGGGCGACACGAAGCGAGTCACCACCTCGTGGTTGTGACCCTTGGAGGGCAACGGACCCACCTGTGCAGTGCAACCCCCTCACACACAGGCACAGTATGGACAACAATGAGGGGTGGGGTGGCTGTGAGCGAGTAGCATACGCTTTGATTTGGCAAGCAGCGAGAGTGGTGAAGCGGGTCAACGTCTTGTGAGACGATTGCAGGGTTGGCTGTTGAGGATTCTTGAGACAGCAGTGAACAGCGAACAGAAATGGTATCAAACAGCACTCCCGGAATAGTGCAGCTCAGCGTAGTCCTTCCCTGGATACACTCTGAAGACCTGGGAGTTGGGAGCGGTGCAGAGCGGCAGAGGCACAGGGAGAGGGAGGATGAAGGGTGGTGCGTTATCAGAGGGAGCAGGCAGGCAGTGGAAAAACCTCGCATTGGGAGTTTGCTTTTGAGTCGAATCAAAAGCAATCGCATTGAGAGTGGCGAGTAAATTGAACAGCAAGCAAGCAACTTACGCACCACTGCGTTGGATGTCTTATGGGAGGGTGAAACGGAGCAAAGGAGTCACACAAAGCATCTCAGAAAAGGCAGTTGAATGCAGCGTAGACACACGTGCACTCAGTATGGCGTAGACACACGTGCACTGAGTGTGGCGAAGACACACGTGCACTGAGTGTGGCGAAGACACACGTGCACTGAGTGTGGCGTAGACACACGTGCACTGAGTGAGACGAAGACACACGTGCACTGAGTGTGGCGTAGACACACGTGCACTGAGTGTGGCGAAGACACACGTGCACTGAGTGTGGCGTAGACACACGTGCACTGAGTGTGGCGTAGACACACGTGCACTGAGTGTGGCAAAGACACACGTGCACTGAGTGTGGCGTAGACACACGTGCACTGAGTGTGGCGAAGACACACGTGCACTGAGTGTGGCGTAGAAACACGTGCACTGAGTGTGGCGAAGACACACGTGCACTGAGTGTGGCGTGGACACACGTGCACTGAGTGTGGCGTGGACACACGTGCACTGAGTGTGGCGTGGACACACGTGCACTGAGTGTGGCGTGGACACACGTGCACTGAGTGTGGCGTGGACACACGTGCACTGAGTGTGGCGTGGACACACGTGCACTGAGTGTGGCATAGACACACGTGCACTGAGTGTAGCGTGGACACACGTGTACTGAGTGTGGCGTAGACACACGTGCACTGAATGTGGCGTAGACACACGTGCACTGAGTGTGGCGTAGACACACGTGCACTGAGTGTGGCGTAGACACACGTGCACTGAGTGTGGCAAAGACACACGTGCACTGAGTGTGGCGTAGACACACGTGCACTGAGTGTGGCGAAGACACAGGTGCACTGAGTGTGGCGTAGAAACACGTGCACTGAGTGTGGCGTGGACACACGTGCACTGAGTGTGGCGTGGACACACGTGCACTGAGTGTGGCGTCGACACACGTGCACTGAGTGTGGCGTGGACACACGTGCACTGAGTGTGGCGTGGACACACGTGTACTGAGTGTGGCGTAGACACACGTGCACTGAATGTGGCGTAGACACACGTGCACTGAGTGTGGCGTGGACACACGTGCACTGAGTGTGGCGTGGACACACGTGTACTGAGTGTGGCATAGACACACGTACACTGAGTGTGGCGTAGACACACGTGCACTGAGTGTGGCGTAGACACACGTGCACTGAGTGTGGCGTAGACACACGTGCACTTAGTGTGGCATAGACACGCGTGCACTGAGTGTGGCGTGGACACACGTGCACTGAGTGTGGCGTGGACACACGTGCACTGAGTGTGGCGTGGACACACGTGTACTGAGTGTGGCGAAGACACACGTGCACTGAGTGTGGCGTAGACACACGTGCACTGAGTGTGGCGAAGACACACGTGCACTGAGTGTGGCGTGGACACACGTGCACTGAGTGTGGCGTCGACACACGTGCACTGAGTGTGGCGTGGACACACGTGCACTGAGTGTGGCGTGGACACACGTGTACTGAGTGTGGTGTAGACACACGTGCACTGAATGTGGCGTAGACACACGTGCACTGAGTGTGGCGTGGACACACGTGCACTGAGTGTGGCGTGGACACACGTGTACTGAGTGTGGCATAGACACACGTGCACTGAGTGTGGCGTAGACACACGTGCACTGAGTGTGGCGTAGACACACGTGCACTGAGTGTGGCGTAGACACACGTGCACTTAGTGTGGCATAGACACGCGTGCACTGAGTGTGGCGTGGACACACGTGCACTGAGTGTGGCGTGGACACACGTGCACTGAGTGTGGCGTGGACACACGTGTACTGAGTGTGGCGAAGACACACGTGCACTGAGTGTGGCGTAGACACACGTGCACTGAGTGTGGCGTAGACACACGTGCACTGAGTGTGGCGTAGACACATGTGCACTGAGTGTGACGAAGACACACGTGCACTAAGTGTGGCGTAGACACACGTGCACTGAGTGTGGCGTAGACACACGTGCACTGAGTGTGGCGTAGACACACGTGCACTGAGTGTGACGAAGACACACGTGCACTGAGTGTGGCGTAGACACACGTGCACTGAGTGTGGCGTAGACACACGTGCACTGAGTATGGCATAGACACACTTGCACTGAGTGTGGCGTAGACACACTTGCACTGAGTGTGGCGTAGACACACGTGCACTGAGTGTGGCGTAGACACACGTGCACTGAGTGTGGCGTAGACACACGTGCACTGAGTGTGACGAAGACACACGTGCACTGAGTGTGGCATAGACACACGTGCACTGAGTGTGGCGAAGACACACGTGCACTGAGTGTGGCGTGGACACACGTGCACTGAGTGTGGCGTGGACACACGTGCACTGAGTGTGGCGTGGACACACGTGCACTGAGTGTGGCGTGGACACACGTGTACTGAGTGTGGCGTAGACACACGTGCACTTAATGTGGCGTAGACACACGTGCACTGAGTGTGGCGTAGACACACGTGCACTGAGTGTGGCAAAGAAACACGTGCACTCAGTGTGGCATAGACGCACGTGCACTGAGTGTGGCGAAGACACACGTGCACTGAGTATGGCGTAGACAGACGTGCACTGAGTGTGGAGTAGACACACGTGCACTGAGTGTGACGTAGACACACGTGCACTGAGTGTGACGAAGACACACATGCACTGAGTATGGCGTAGAAACACATGCACTGAGTGTGGCGTAGACGCACGTGCACTGAGTGTGGCGTAGACACACGTGCACTGAGTGTGGCGAAGACACACGTGCACTGAGTGTGGCGAAGACACACGTGCACTGAGTGTGGCGTAGACGCACGTGCACTGAGTGTGGCGTAGACACACGTGCACTGAGTGTGGCGAAGACACACGTGCACTGAGTGTGGCGAAGACACACGTGCACTGAGTGTGGCGAAGACACACGTGCACTGAGTGTGGCGAAGACACACGTGCACTGAATGTGGCGTGGACACACGTGCACGGAGTGTGGCGTGGACACATGTGTACGGAGTGTGGCGTGGACACACGTGCACTGAGTGTGGCGTAGACACACGTGCACTGAGTGTGGCGTAGACACACGTGCACTGAGTGTGGCATAGACACACGTGCACTAAGTGTGGCGTGGACACACGTGCACTGAGTGTGGCGTAGACACACGTGCACTGAGTGTGGCATAGACACACGTGCACTGAGTGTGGCATAGACACGCGTGCACTGAGTGTGGCGTGGACACACGTGCACTGAGTGTGGCGTGGACACACGTGTACTGAGTGTGGCGTGGACACACGTGTACTGAGTGTGGCGTAGACACACGTGCACTGAGTGTGGCGTAGACATTCGTGCACTGAGTGTGGCGTAGACACACGTGCACTGAGTGTGGCTGTGCGATCATTACGCAATCATTAATCGAGCAATGTATGTGCGTGCGTGTCGCTGTGATAAATAGCGTACAGCAGCGTGAATAGTGCAAAAAGGACCGAAAAGCATATCAGACAAGGCAGGGGCAAGAGGTGCGGAGGTGGAAGGTTTCCAAACGTTCTCAAAACACCAAGCCAGAATCAAGAAAGTGAAGGAGGTAAGGAGGAGGAGGAGGAGGAGGAGGAGGAGGAGGAGGAGGAGGAGGAGGAGGAGGAGGAGGAGGAGGAGGAGGAGGAGGTGGAGGTGGTGGTGGTGGTGGTGTTGGTGGTGGTGGTGGTGGTGGTGGTGGTGGTGGTGGTGGTGGTGGTGGTGGTGGTGGTGGTGGTGGTGGTGGTGGTGGTGGTGGTGGTGGTGGTGGTGTTGGTGCACTCACCTCAGAGATCCATGGAGTGACCTGGCGGCTGTACTCCTCCACGATTGGTCCACGCTGGATGTGAATGGGCACCTGGTTCCACGTCAGCAGATCAGCCAGGAAGAAGCGACAAAAATCAAAGGCCTCTTGCAAAGCGGCTTTACTCCACTCCACCCATCAGAAGCCACTCCATACTGAAGGTACGGCACAGCTGGCACTGGCAGTGCGGGAGAGGCATGGTGCATCATGGTAGGCGGTGCCTGGCCCATGGCTTGAGCAGATTAGATTCGAGGCACTGGCACCACTAATGCAGCAGGTGAAGCATGTTGCACATCAAGGCAGGCACTGTGTGTGTCTGCCTGTGACTTGAATGGACTCGAACGCCAGTGGCGCCACCAGTGCAGTGCGCGAGAGGCATGGTGCCCTGTGGTGGGGCGTTTGTGACCGACCCGCCTACTGACCTGGGAGGTGGCGTTGTTTGTGATGGGCGCAGCTGGCTAGGAGGGTTGGAAGATGTATGTGCCACCAGCCAATGTTGCATACTCCATCATGCTGGCGCTCACTGCCTTGCCCACCAGCTGCCATGGCGTGGCAGGGCGTGGATTGGCGTGGAATGGCATGAACGCGTGGCGTGGGGTGATATTGCATGGCATGGCATGGCATGGCGCGATATTGCATGCGATGGCGTGGTATGGCATGCCATGGCATGGTGTCATATTGCATGCGATGGCGTGGCATGGCATGGCATGGCGTGATATTGCATGCGATGGCGTGGCATGGCATGGCATGGCATAGCGTGATATTGCATGCGGTGGTGTGGCATGGCATGGCATGGCATGGCATGACGTGATATTGCTAGCGATGGCGTGGCATGGCATGGCATAGCATGTCGTGACATTGCATGCGATGGCGTGGCATGGCATGGGATGGCGTGATATTGCATGCAATGGTGTGGCATGGCATGGCATGGCGTGATATTGCTAGCAATCGTGTGGCATGGCATGGCATGTCGTGATATTGCATGCGATGGCGTGGCATGGCATGGCACGGCATGGCATGGCGTGATATTGCATGTGATGGCATGGCACGTCGTGGCATGGCAACATGTGCAGGTGAGGGATGGCGTGGTAGCAGAGCAGATGACACAGCGCATGAAGCAGGAGTGCACAGCGCATGAAGCAGGAATGCACAGCGCATGAAGCAGGAGTGCACAGCGCATGAAGCAGGAGTGCACAGCGCATGAAGCAGGAGTGCACAGGGCATGTAACAGGAGTGCACAGGGCATGTGACAGGAGTGCACAGGGCATGTAACAGGAGTGCACAGGGCATGTAACAGGAGTGCACAGGGCATGTAGCAGGAGTGCAAAGGGCATCATCACACATGCTTATGAGGCCGGAAAGAGAGTGTTCAACAGACTGCAGAGTCTTATCAGTGTGAGTGTGTCTTGCTTTGTCATACTACTTATACTGTATACAAACGAAAAATGTCACAAATATTGAAGCGGAACTGATGGTTGCTTTAGGACACATGCGGGTATACATAGTTGAGCTAGGATGGGCGGTATGGTTGGGAACCTTGCCAACATTATTGCCCCCCACCAATAAGTTGGGTTGAGGAGTTATTGGGGGGACCAATAATGTTGACCAAAGTGGGTCAACATTATTGAAGGGGGGCAATCATCTCCCAACCCAACCTTGGGGGCCCAATAATTGGGCCAAGGTTGGGTTCCAACCTCAAACTAGGGTTAACCCTAGTTGTGCACCCCAACTAATTTTGGGTGCCTATCTCTGACCAAAACTTATAGGATAGATGCAGGTTACAATGCAGATGATAATCTGACAAAAAGAACAGAAAAGAGAGAGAAAAGAGAGACAATATTGGCTTGCAGGAAAATACCAGCTTGATCCTTGCTATTCTCAAGAGCTGGTTTTTGTCATGCTGCCGGTCCCTTGCCCTCACGTGAAAGAAGGGTTGTTTTGAGGCGTCTCAAAACCACCCATCTTTCACACAACTGATTTTTGTCATGCTGCCAGTCCCTTGCCCTCATTAGACACCCATTCCCATCCCATCACCACCCAACCCTTACCCCTTTCTCTTTCGCCACACCACTCACCACAGTCTCCCCCATGACATTCGCACTCCGAGAGACCAGCTCCACCCGTTGCATGCCCGCCGCTGACTTGGAGAACGAGACGCGCAGCGCAACGCCGCCCGCTCCCCACCGCCCCTGTCGGCGCCAGCAGCACCAGTGCCACGAGCCCCCCCCACACCTTGCCACCCTCCCAGCACAACAGTAGCATCCCCTTCCTGCCCGCTCCCTCCTCCTCCTCCTCCTCCTCCTCCTCCTCCTCCTCCTCCTCCTCCTCCTCCTCCTCCTCCTCCTCCTCCTCTTCCTCTTCCTCCTCCTCCTCCTCCTCCTCCTCCTCCTCCTCCTCCTCCTCCTCCTCCTCCTCCTCCTCCTCTTCCTCTTCCTCCTCCTCCTCCTCCTCCTCCTCCTCCTCCTCCTCCTCCTCTTCCTCCTCCTCCTCCTCCTCCTCCTCCTCCTCCTCCTCCTCCTCCTCCTCCTCCTCCTCCTCCTCCCCCTCCTCCCCCTCCTCCCCCTCCAACTCCTCCTCCCTGACCCATCTTGCCCCCCTCTGTCCCCCCACCACCTTGCAACCCTCTTCTTCCACTGCTCCCCCTGCTCGCTGCCTCCCTCCCTCTCCTCTCCCCACCGTTCATCTCGCCCTCCTTCTTCTCTCCACCACGCGCCACCATCCGCCGCCCTCTCGTCTTCCTCCCCCTTGCTGCCTTTCTGGGTTGCGTTTCAGCTGGCCCCGCTGCTGCTTCTGCCCCGGCTGCTGCTGCTGCTACAGAGGGCGTTGCTGCATCTGCCTCTGCTGGTGCTGCTGCAATGTCATCGACGCTGCTCCATACAGCACTCTCATACGCCTTGCCGGAGGTGTCTGGATGTGGGTATGGGTGGGTGGATATGGGGGATTCCCGTGCGTGGATAGGAGAGTCAACTGTTGAGTGGTGCACAGGGGTGACGAGACACGAAGCACACTCGTAGTGTGCATAACTTGCTTGCTCTCTCTCTCGAATGGTCCTTCATTGGATGTAGCATGCAATACATCGGTGTAGTTTATATATTCAGGCACAGACATGCAAGAGAGCTACCTAAGGCAGCTCAAAGTCCAGCTCGAGAATGTGCAGAAGGTCGCCCGTGTCAAGGGGCTCATCCTGGTAGGCACAAGTCGGTGCCTCGGCCTCGAAGGCCGCCAGGGTCTTGGCGCATAGGGCGTTCGCCTGGCCCCTCTGCAAGGCAATGGACCACCTTTGGCGGTACGAATGGAACAGTTTGTTGACTCTCGTGAAGAAGGCTCGGCATTATGGAAGCGCTTCGCCGCCAGGTTAGCACATAGGCGCATGAACTCAAATACTCCGGGGGAGCAGCACCCGTAAGTCTCTACTGCCATTGCTATGAACCCCACCCACTGCTGCCGGTTGCGGTACTTATGCTCTTTCGCCCTTGCCGCCGCCCTGGCTGCCCACCCCACTCCCCGCCTGGCCGTCTCGTCCTGGAGGAAATGGGGTCGTGACTGCTACGTCAATGAGCCACACGGCTCCTGAGTCGGGGTGGCGTATGGCGAGGTCCGCCTTGAGCCCTCCACCGGTGTGTAAATTGTTGTCTCCTTCTGGACCGCGAAGCCCGCCTCCGTCGCGATCCGCTCGCACTCATCTCTTAGCGCATGGTGGGTGCCCGTTCTGCCCTTCCCCGTTCCGCACCGAAGTAGGTGATTAGGTAGGCGTGGGTCGAGTATCTCCACTTGGTCGTTGCAGTCACAGAAGGCCGGGACGAGCTGGGGTATGCCAAGGCGGAAAGCAGCCATAGAGGTGAAGTAGTGGGCTGGCAGGCGGTGCGGTCGGTTGATAGGCAGGGACATGAGCCAGTCCTTTGCCCCTGGTCCTGTGAGGGACTGTAGCCGCTGGATATGGCCGAGCAGGGGGTTTGGTGCCATCACCCTGCTCTCCTGCACCGCAGCAGTTGCCCTTGTTGCATGGACGTGGAGGGAGATTGCATGCTGAAGTTTCAAGAAATCCCCCCCCCTCCCGCACTTTCTGTAGAATGCCAATTGCCTCTCGTGGCAGGGTCTCCTCCGCGGCCGCCAAACGGAGAGGGAGCTGGGAGCGGCTTGAGGCGTCAGCGGAGAAGAGGGGGAGGAGTGCCAGCACTTGGGAGTGGGAGGGAGAGGAAGACGCGGAGAGGAGGTGAAAGGCGGCCGCGGTTGAGGCTAGGTAGCTCGCGAACCGCTCCAAGGCGGGGTCGGCAATGCCTAGGCCTCCAAGTGTAGGTGGGAGGGAGGCCTGGCGCCAGACCCGCAGCTGCTCAGGGCGGTGGCGTGGCAGAGGGATGGCGGCGGATGCTAGGAGGGTGTGGAAGTTTCCTTCCCCCCAGGAGTCCCAGTCAGCGAGGGGAAGGGAGTCCGGGGGGGTAGTGCGGAGGATGTAGGAGATACGGCGGCTGATGCAGCGCGTAAGAAGTAGGAGGCATACTTGCGGCTCCAGCTCGGAGAGGAGTGCCGATGGCTCCACAGCCTCGGCCATTCGGGTGCGAAGAAACGTGGCGCAGTCCTCGGGCGGACCCACGGGGCTGCCCAGAACCTTGAGGCCAGAGGGCGACCATGGCACTCCTGACGGCAGGTGCTGGAGTTGAGATGACGTGGGTGACCAGGCCGCACATTTGGCGGCGTTGTGGTGGAGGCCGAGTGGGGCTAGCGCCGCGGTGAGGCCGTTGAAGGCGGCGGTGCAGTCGGGTTCAGGGCCGAGTAGTGTGATGTCGTCTCCATAGGCGAGAACGACGACTGTGGGATTGGCGGCGGCTACTGCCCTTAGTGCGGGGTGGATTGTGGCGGCGAAGAGAAGGGGGCCCATGGGGTCCCTTTGGCGTACTCCCCTCGAGGAGCAGAGGTTGTTGGCATGGAAGGCGGCATCGATGATAAGTTCGGACGGCGCGCCATATGAGCTTCGGGTGAAGGGGACTAGGAACTCCAAGGGTGAGTCACGGAGGCTTGGATTGAGTCAGGTTCCTTGGCCAATCGCAGCAGGGGGGTCAGGAGGCAGGTGGCGGGCGAGTGGTGTTTGGCAAGAGTCACGGAGCACCTGGATGTCCCAACTGCCAATTTCCGCAAATTTCGCATTGTCACCAGCTAGCTGCTTCGGTGAGAAATGTGGTTGGGGCGTTCTTTCTGGCGGGAGTCGATTGACTTGGTTGGCTCGGGGTGCAGGTCTGGCAGCCGCGCGGGTTGGAATTCGGGGGGGAAATTCAGATGCGCTTCGGCGAATTTGTCGACCCCCACCTTAGTGAACATCCTCCTCCACCCCTTGTTCGCCTTGTTCCTCGGTTTCTGAGCTTGGGATACCCTCCCTCGAGAGGGTATAAGATTGGTCACCCAAGGGCTCATTCCTCAGTTCCTCGCTCACCCTCTCCTCTCCATCAGCCCTCTCCTCCGGCCTTTGCCCGTTACACGCTGCGGCTCCCCTTAGTAGGTTTTCCTCGGCGATTAAGCGCCTCGCAATTTGGCCATAGCCCCCTCCTCTTGTCTGGGGGCTCTCGCGGCCTCCCCTTCCGCGCCCGCCTCCACGTCGTCCCCTGGAGCTGCTTGCCTGGCCCCTCGTGTGCATCAAGTTTGAGCGTTGCAGTTGCGGAGACCACCACTGAAGTTGATCAACAGCCCGCCTGGGCGATGCCGGGCTCGCATTCGCGAGGGCGGGAACAGTCCCCATCCCGGGCACACGGGGAGCGTCGCAGTCCGTCGTCGTGGCGTCCTGCCCAGTCGCCGGCGCTGTGGCCAGAGGTGGCTCGTGCGTCCGAGCGGTCTGCCGTGACCGCGCCTGTTCCGTCCCGGCCGTCATCGTCGCTGCAGGCATCCCCCCGTCGATCGTCTCCGCGCCAGCAGTCTCCCTGGCGTCCCTCCTCTCCCCAGCGGTCTCAGCCAGCGAACAATCATGGGCGACGAAATCAGCCCCGGCGCTATTGGCGCGCGCATCATCTCCAGCAGCAGCCGGCTGATCCTGCTCCAGTGGCGGCCGCCGCTGCCACGGCAGCGGGGACGGATGCCGCCACGGCGCGGCTGTTGTGCGGGCGCTAGCGGCGCTTCCCGATGGTGCGATGGCGCCAGGCCGCGTTCCCGCGCCTGCGCATGTGCGTCAGATACCCCCTCTGCTTGATTTGTTGCCGAATCCCCCAACTGCAGATCCCGTGTCATTTGCCGCACCGCCTCCCGCTCCGCAGCTGCCACAACCTCCTGCGCCTCCTCCTAGCGTTCCATTCCCTCTGCACGTGGGTCCACTGGGGGTGTGGGATGTTGCTCCCGGCGGTCAGGCCCAGTTCCATCCCTTCCACAACGGGGGTCTTGCGCCACCCCTTCTTCCTGGTCAGCTGACGCTTCATCCGGCGCACCTCCCGCAGCGGCCCGCGCCGCCTCCTGCGCCTCCGGTTCTTGTGCCTCAGCTTCCCGGGTTTGAGTATGCCTCCGGGCGTGCTCCGTTTCACCCACCTCTTGTCCCCGGCCCCATGCCTGCAGCTCCACTTGCGGTGGTGGGAGCAACAGAGGGGGTGGATCTTGATGCTGGTGAGTCGGCCGCCGCGCCGATGCCTCGGGACATCCGCCCTCCGCGTCGTCGGTCCGTGGGGGTCCGCTTGAGCTCTCGCGTGATCGTGGAGCGGATCCGGGCGCGGACCCGTGCCCCTCCTCGCTCGCTGCAGCTGTCGAGTAAGGTGCTTGTGCGCTTGTGGCACGGGCGGGCGTTTGTTGAAGTGCGCTTGTGGCACGGGCGGGCATTTGTTGAAGTGGTGACGAACGTGCTGGAGGCCGCGCTGGGGGCGATGGAAGACTGCCCAGCTGCGCACTGTAGGATGGATGCTGATCGGACTGAGCGGTGCCAGCTTGCAGTGCGTGACCTGGTGCACGAGCTGGAGCGGACATTGGTTGGGCCCGATGGGGAGTTGGGCTCGGGCGTTGGGGAGGCATGCGTCCTCGAGGAGGTGGGGGATGAAGGTGCAGTCGGCATCAGCTGTAGCTGTTGTAGACGGCTGCGTGTCCGCACTCCGCCTGGGCGATAAGGTTGTCGCCAGCGTGCTTCAGCTGGCGGGTGTGACAGAGTTTGTGTAGGCCGCTCGCGGCGGCGGTAGCATAGCGTTTGCGGCCCGCTTGGGCCCTTGATGGTGGGCAGGCCGGTCATGTTTTCCTACGGTGATCTAGCCTGATACTTGTATTCTATTGTTGTCATCTCGAACGGTCCTTCGTATTAGTATCATCAAGGTACAGACCTGGGTACTAAGCTAGTCTAGGCAATCAAACGACAAACAGGCAAGCCAACAACCAAGAAAACACACAAAGGTACCACTACTCATCCCACTCCTACCCCTTCTCCCCACGGCCCTGCTGGCCTGTGGGGTCTTCCAGCAGCTGGTACAACTGCTCCTCACCCAAGCTGCCAAACGGGCCTTGCAGGCCAAGCTCATCCGCGGCAATGGCCTCGTGGGTCTTGTCGCGAAGGGCATTGGCCTGGGCGCGCTGGAGTGTCACACTCCAGCGCTGACGGTACTCCGTAAGGAGCCTGGCCACCTCCCTTGACTTTGGCGCAGCGTTGAACCGCCGCTTGCTCGCGAGCTCGGCGCAGCTGCGGAGGAAGGCGTGCACTCCCGGGGACGGGTAGCCGTACGTCTCAACCGCCATGGCATGGAAGCCCACCCACGCGTTCCGCCGCGCGTACTTGTCTTCTTTCTTGGCGGCTTGCATCCTTGCAGCCCACCCAGGCGCCTTCCGCGCAAACTCGTCCTGGTGAGAGACCGGGTCCGTCACGGTGATGTCGCACATGTGGACTTCGCCGGTGTCGGGATGGCGGATGCAAACGTCTGCTTTGAGGTTTTCGACCGGTGAGTACACTGTGGATTCCTTGTGCACCGTGTAGCCTGCCTCTGCTGCGATCTTCGCACACTCATCCCGAAGAGCATGGTGAGTGGCAATCCTCCCCCCGCCTTTCTCACAACGCATGAGGTGGTTGGGTAGGCGGTGGTCAGGGAAGGTCGTGCGGTGGCGGCAGTCGCAGTGCCGAGGGACGGGAAGGGGGAGGCCTAGGCGGAAGGAGGATGCAGTGGAGTGCTGCGAGGGGCCGAGGCGAAGAGCCGGGACCAGGGGGATGGCTAGCAGCCAATCTCCCACCCCGGGGCCGAGGAGTGACTGCAGGCGTTGGGTGTGGCCGTAGAGCGGGTTCAGGGGCATCTCCCGCGAGGCATCGAGCACCTCAATATAGCGGGCTGTGTGGACGGCCAGCGACAGGGCCTGCTGTAGCTTCGGGCCATCCATCCCGTGTCGGCCGGCCTGTAGAGCTTCTAGTCCATCTGGGGGCAGCGTGGCTTCTGCCGCTACGAGGCGCCTTGGCAGGACCGAGGGTGAGTTCGCGTCTGCATCTAGTAGCGGCAGCATCTGGGCGATTGAGGGGTGCAACGTGTCGCCAAACGAGCGCAGCAGGTGGGCCGTGGAAATGACCGAGGCTAGGTAAGCGAACACCCCTTCCGTGGCTGGGTTGGTGATGCCGAGGCCGCCCAGCGTCACGGGCAGGGCGGCCTGCCGCCAGATTCTCCCCCGCTCTTCTTCCTCCCTGGGTATCGTCGTGTGTGCCGCCGTCAGGTAAGTGTGTAGCAGCTGCTCCCCCCACTCTGACCAGGTGTCCGCTGGCAGCACCTCCAAGGGCATCATTCTAATGAGGTAGGAGGCGCGGCGGCTCACGCACCGTGTTAGGAGTAGCAGGCACAGCTGCGGGTCCATTTGTGACAGTAGCGGAAGTGGCTCTGCTGCTGCTGACAGGCGCTCCTGTACCAACGCCGCGCATCCCGCCTGCGGGCCTATTGGGCTCCCCAGGACGCGGATCCCGTCCGCCAAGAAAGGTACATGCGGCGGAAGAGAGGCGGGGTCAATGTGCGCAGCCGACCATGCTGCGCACTTCTCGGGGTTGTGTTCCAGGCCTAGGGGAAGCAGCGCCCTGGTGAGGTGATTGAATGCCTCTGTGCACGCCTCAGCTTCCCCCAGGAGCGTAATGTCGTCCGCGTAGGCGAGGATGACGACTTCTGGGTGCGCCTCCGCCGCGGCTACCAGGCACGGGTGAATGCTGGCGGCGAAGAGGAGCGGGCCCAGCGGATCCCCTTGGCGTACGCCGCGTGCGGATTGTAGGGGGGGGGCATGAAACGCGTGGTCGAGGTGCAGTTCCGAGGGGACACCATAGGAGAGCCGGACCAGGGGCACCATGAATTCCAGGGTGGTCCCCTTGAGGCCTTCGAACACTGCTGCCCGCTCGACCGCATTAAATGCGTTTGCCAGGTCGATTTGTAGCGCCACAGCCCCGTCATTATCCTCCAGGTATGTCCTTGCCGTGTGCACCGCCGCCTCGATGCCTCCTGCTACCGCCACCCCGAATTGTAGCGGTGCGAAGTGATTGTGTGCTCTCTCAGCCGCCAAGAATAGAGCCGCTTTTGCTACTAATCTGAGCAGGCATTCGCCTACTGCTATAGGCCGTGTGCCCCCATGGGGCTTCGTGAAAGCAAGTAAGCGTGACGCAGTGAGGAGTTCTGTTGCTTCCGCGCTGAGTTTTTCGGCTAACGTCGTGTTTGTGAGTGCGTGCAATTGCAGGAAGATGTCCATATTCCCAACTGCTGCGTCCCTCAGGTGTTCGAAGGTGGTCCCCGAGGGACCAGCGCTCACTCCGTTCGGGCATTTGGCGAGAATGCGTCTGAAGTCGCGTGGAGGGATTGAAGGGGTGCACTCTGTGGTGAAATCCGACACCCACTCCGGGATGGATTGGCGCGCAGGGGGGTGTCGAGCTGAGAGAGCCCGAAGCACGTCAGTTGAGGGGGGGGAGACTGGCGTGGCCGTGAGGGATTGGAGGGATTTTGCTAGGTTCCCTCGTTTGGCGAGTCCCTCTGCCCTTGCCAGGATGCCTGTGGTGTCTGGCGCATGGCGTGGCTGGGGTGGTTGGGATACTGCGTCAGCCGCCTCGTCGTACAGGCTCCGTCACTGGCCTTGGCGGAACCTTATCAGCCTGGCTCCTACCTTCGACCAATCTGGGCGCTTGGCTGATGAGGTGCGCAAGAGGATGCGCGGGAGGAATATGAGCAGTCTCCAGCCTGCGGGCGAGTTAGGATCTTTTGCGAGGTGTAGCAGCGGGGTGAGAAGGCAGGCTGCGAAAGATTCGCGAAGAGTGCGAGGTGAGTGATGCGCGAGAGGTGGTTGCCTGCTGTTGCGAAGGGGGTGTAGGTCCCAAGTTGCGACATCAGCGAAAAGGTCCTGGCGTTTTTCCAGGTCGCCTGCACTGAACAGGGGCAGGCCTGTGGGTGCATCTGCACTCTGCTGATTGGCCCGAGTTGGGGTGCCATCTGCAATTTGTGTGGCTTGGTTTCCCCCCCCCGACTCGGCTCTGTCTTCCAATTCGGATCGCAGATGCGGCTCGGCTCGGTGTTGGAGTTCGGTCCACATCTCGAGCCTGCTCTGCCTCTTCTAACTCGGGGGAGGGACTGGGGCTACCCTCTCTTTCAGGGTTAAATAGAGGGTCACCCACAGAGTTCTCGTCACTCGATTCTTCCCCATCTCTAGCCCTTCCCCTCAGGATCCTGTGAGCAGCCCTCGCGAAGCTACTAGCACCCCGTCGTTGAACCGCAGCGCCTCCTCTACGACCACCCCGACTCCCTCCTCTTCCTACGCAGATTCCGTGCTGCGCGGAGGCCGCCGCTGCAATATTGCGTGTCGATTGTGGCGCCGAGGCGGTACCAAGGCCCCTCCTTTGACGGCCCGCTGGCGTCCGCGGCGGTTCGTTCGGGCGTGATGGACCCCTCCGCGGGTCGCGACCACGCGCAAGTGAGTACGGCGGACAGCGCAGGCCCCCATCCTCAGGCGCCCGCTGCCCCCCGTCTCCGCGCTCCTGCGCATCCATCCGCGTCTGAGCCCGTGCGGCGTCTGGAGCGCGGGCTGTCTCTACCTCATCAGGCGAGCGCGCGCCCAAACTCTCCTGAGTATTCGTGGGCGCCGGCCCGCGTTGGGTCGAATCGTCCGGTTGGACAGCCGCCTCATGAGCGTGGGCGATCGCCGCAGCGCCAGCCCCAGCAGCAACGTTCCCCTCGACGTCGCTCTCCTGGTCAACGCGAGCTTCGCCGCCACGGAGCTGGCGATCAGCTGTCGCCTGCGAGCCCCCGCTCTCCCCGTCACCGATCTCCCCAAGATCGGGCAGCCCAGCGCTCACCGCAAGCGCGATCCCCCACGCAGCGCTCTCCGCGTCGATCTCCGGCGAGGCGGGGGAGGGGTTCTCCTGGGCGACGATGGGATTCTGGGCGTCGCGAGCAATCCCCCCCCCCTCCGCACTCGGCGGGCTCTGGTGGCCGTCAGGGTCGGCGGAATGGAGCGGGTCGCGGCGGAGCTGGTCGCGGGGAGGATCCTGTGGTTGGTGAAGCCGTGAATGTGTTTGCAGCGGCGATGCACCAGGCGCGAGCGACTGGTGAGCCAACTCACGTCCACATCGAAGTGACCAACGGTCATTCTCACGCCCTAGCCCCTGACGTCGCGGCCCCTCTGCGCGCGCCGGTATTGAGCGAGTATCTGCCCGTGCGGGAGGGGAGGGCGCTGTTCCGCACCCCTCGGCAGGTCCCTGGCTTCTCCGCGCAGCCCTTCTCGGGAGGCCGACTTCCGGGCCGGGAGACAGCATATCAGCGTGAGGCTCCGATTGCACCTCCCCCCACTCGCGCGGGGAGAGACTCCATGCTGACCATGTGCCGGACGCTGAATCTTGCGGAGGCGTGCGAGGTGGTGGCGAACCTGCAGATGGCGGTGTGTGGGGCCATGCGAAACTCTCCGGGCAGTTTCGCTCCAGGTCCCCGAGGATCGTGCGCGACCTGGGCAGAAGCCCTCGCCCCACTATTGGCGCCCGTGTTGGAAGCGCCCGCCGGGGTAGCGCCCTTAGCGCGTACCTTCCCCCGCTACGTGGAGGATCTTCTTGTGGCCGCCCAAGAGGGGACCCCGGTGCGCACGCTTCAGTCGTCGGCGCAGCTCCTTCTGGCGGTGTCAACGTGCATGCGTTCGATGCTTGAGGTGGAGGGGGAGGAGCCGTACATGATGTAGGCTTCCGCCGCATGTAGTATTGCATGTCGCCCTTTTAGGTAGATCCCCTCTCCCTTCCTGTTGATGTGTGCTTGAACCCCGTTATTCCGATGCTGTCGCTTGAAATCCTTGCCACCAGGAGCGCGCGGCCGAAGGCCGCCGGCGCGAGCCACCGAAAATGAACTCCACACAAAATAATGAGGAGAAGGAGGGTGAGACAACCCTTAAATAGCTTTGGAGGGCAGAGGGCAGAGGGATGAGGCAGAGGGCAGAGGGCTAAGGGATTCCTCTCTCTCTCTCTCTCTCTCTCTCTCTCTCTCTCTCTCTCTCTCTCTCTCTCTCTCTCTCGAACGGTCCTTCGTATTAATAGCATCAAGGTACAGTCATTGGTACTAAGCTAGTCTAAGCTAGTCCTTCTCTCTCTCGAATGGTCCTGGTATTGATTGATGGGAGATACATGGGAAGATGCAAACACATGCAAACCCAGACATAACACTCGGTCTACCTAACTACCTCATTCCCTTACTCCCTCCCGCCCCCTCCGTCCGACCCTAAAGGTCGAACGAGGGCTCTATTTGCTGGTAGAGCTGGCCTTCGCTAAGGGGGGCAAAGGGGCCCCGCATGCCGAGCTCGTCCGCTGCTATCGCCTCGTTGGTCTTGCAGCGGAGGGTGTTGGCTTGTGCTTTTTGGAGGCACACGCTCCAGCGCTGGCGGTATTCCGTCAGCAGCTTGGCGGCCTCGTAGGAGTTGGGGGCTGCGTTGAATCGCAACTTGGCCGCCAGCTCCGCGCACTGCCGCAAGAATGCCAACACCCCGGGCGAGGGGTACCCATATGTCTCTACCGCTAGGGCATGAAAGCCCACCCACGCATTCCGGCGCACGTATTTCTGCTCCTTCTTGTCCGCAGCTGCCCTAGCCGCCCACCCCGGTGCTCTATTGCAGTTCTCATCTTGGTGAGAAACGAGGTCCGTCACTGTCACGTCGCACATCCAAACCTCTCCCGTCCGGGGATGGCGGATTGCGACGTCCGCCTTCAGGTTTTCAACGAGAGAGTATACATAGGTTTCTTTGTGCACCGTGAATCCCGCCTCTGCCGCAATCAAAGCAATCTCGTCCCTGAGCGCATGGTGAGTCGCAATCCTTCCCCCCCTTTCTCGCAGCGCATGAGATGGTTTGGGAGGCGGTCATCAGGGAGTTTGGTGCGGTAGCGGCAGTCGCAGCGCCTAGGGACAGGTAGGGGGAGGCCCACGCGGAACGCAGCAGCGGAGGAGAGCTGGGAGGGTCCCATCCTAAGCAAGGGTATGATGGGTAGTGCCAGCAGCCAATCTCCCGCACCAGGGCCGAGCACCGACTGCATTCTCTGGGCATGGCCAGAGAGGGGGTTGGGGCGCATCCGCCTTGCCTCGTTCATGACCCTCAGGAAGCGGCGTGTCTGAACCGCCAGCGCTAGAGACTGCTGCAGCTTGAGGCCCTGTGGGTCTGCTTTCCCGACCTGGAGAGCTTCTAGAGCCTCGGGGGGGAGGGCTGCTTCCGCTGCTGCAAGGCGTGCAGGCAGGGCGTGCGCGGAGCCGGAGGTGGGGTCCGTTAGGGGGAGGAGGGCTGCTACATCTGGGTGGAGTGCCTCGGCCAGGGAGTGCAGTAAGTGGGAGGTGCCCACCACCGACGCAAGGTACGCATAGCTCCCTTCAACTGCAGGATTTGTAATGCCAAGCCCCCCCAATGTTACGGGCAGCGCCGCTTGCCTCCAGATTCTCCTCTGTTCCGCGTCACTCCTTGGCAGCATGATATGGGCCGCGTCCGGGAAGGTATGCAGTAGTTGCTCCCCCCATGCCGCCCATTCATCCTCACGTAGTGCCTCTAGCGGAGTGGTTCTGGCCAGGAAGGATGCTCGCCGGCCCACGCAGCGGGTGAGTAGCAGCAGGCACAATTGGGGGTCCATTTGGGCCAGGAGCGGCAAGGGTTCTGCTGCTGCTGCAAGCCTTTCCCTTACTCTGGCGGCACAGCCATCTGAGGTCCCGATTGGGCTTCCTAATATCCGCAGTCCGTCTGCTGCAATGGGGAAGCTCGGAGGGAGAGAGGCGGGGTCTATGGCGGTTGCAGACCAAGCCTCACACTTCCCAAGGTTGTGCTCGAGGCCTATGTGGATCAGTGCGGCAGTGAGGTGTGTAAATGCCGCCGTGCACGCTTCTACTTCGCCTAGCAGCGTTATGTCGTCTGCGTAGGCGAGAATGACGACCCTTGGGTGAGCTAGTGCCGTTGCGGTAAGGTGTGGGTGGATGCTTGCCGCAAAGAGCAAGGGGCCAAGAGGGTCCCCCTGGCGGACGCCTCTAGCATTAGCAGTGGAGCCACGCCGAAGTCATGGTCGAGGTGGAGTGCTGAGGGAGTTCCGTAGGAGAGGCGGACAAGGGGCAGAAGGCTTTCAAGGGACTCGTTCTTGAGCCCCTCGAATACCGCCGCCCTTTCCACCGCGTTAAACGCGTTGGCGAGGTCAATCTGCAGCGCCACCGAGCCCGGGTTCTCCTCCAGGTATGTGCGCGCAGTGTGAATGGCCGCCTCAATCCCTCCAGCCACTGCTACCCCGAACTATAGAGGCGCGAAGTGTGATCGTGCCGCCGCCCCGGTCAGGAACAGTGCTGCCTTGGCCACCATGCGAAGAAGGCATTCGCCCACGACTATCGGTCGGGTCCCCCCCTGCGGTTTTGTGAAGGCCAAGAGCCGTGAGGCTGTGAGGAGCTCGGTGGCCTCGCTGCTGAGTTTCCCGGCTATAGCTGTATTGGTAAGTGCGAGGAGATGGGCGAAGATGTCTGGATTTCCGAGTGCAGCATCGCGTATGTGCTCGAAGGTTGTGCCTGAGGGCCCTGCTCCCACCCCGTTTGGGAGTTTGGCTACGATGCGCCTGAAGTCGCGCGGCTCTATCGAAGGGGTTTTCTCGGGGGAGAAGGTGCGTATCCATTCTGGTAAGGGCTGGAGTGCTTGCGGGTGTCGTGCTGCTAATGCCGCGTACACTTCGGAGGAGGCAGGTGAGACTGGAGTGGCTTGGAGAGACTGTAGTGACTTGGCCAGGTTACCACGCTTGGCCAGTCCCTCCGCTCTAGCAAGGATGCCCTGAGTGTCAGGTACGTGCAAGCATGATCATTAGGCCCGACCCGACCCGACCCGACCCGACTTGGGCGGGCCAGCCGGGTTCCGGGTCGGGTCGGGTCGGGTCGGGTCGGAACTTCAAAAAATCCTGGCCCGACCCGGGTATCGGGTGCCGGGTCAGGCGTGACCCGCCCCCGGGTCGGGTCGGGTAGGGGCCGGGTCGGGTCGGGTCGGGCCAGGACCCCATATGCAGGGTAAGAGGTTCTCCTTACTACTGTGCGGTGTTGCACTGATTGAATATTTGTGTAGTATTATTATATGAACGTCCTCCATTTTGTAACTAGACTATGGGGGGTCGCGTCACTATCGATGCGGGCCTGGTAGGCGCGCAGGGGGCGATGAGAACGCGGGACCAGAGTTTAGTCGCTTGTGAGAGCTAAGAATAACTATTTCTATAGAATCGAATATCTCTGCCTGGTCGCGCTAGGTTAAAAAGACCCTTACGCCAACATGGAAACACTAGTAATAATGTTCCTTAACATGGGCGCGGGTTTAGAGAGTAGTAGAGCTTGAGAACGATTGCTTGCTAGCTGCATAGGTATTGCAGATCGAAGTCAATGTCGAGGGAACAAACAAACCCTAGACATTGACTTCGCGATCTGCTTTAGTGCAAATTGTCGAGGGAGGAAAAGTCGGGTCGGGCCAAATACTCGACCCGACTTAGGGCGCGGTACCCGAAACCGGGTCGGGTACGACTTCGGGTCTAAATCTGACCCGACCCGACCCGACCCGGTTTCGGGTGTCGGGTTGACCCGACCCGACCGGGTAAACCCGACCCGACCCGGCCAAGCCAGCGCTTCAAAATGCCTGACCCGATCCGGGTCAAAACCCGGGTCGGGTCGGGTCGACCCGACCCGCCGGGGCAGGATGATCATGCGTGATCGCGAGTCAGCCCATTTTTTTCATGACTTTGCCTACATTGCTCTTCATTCCCACTACGAGCCACCTACAATTACTGCTGCCCGCTCTTGCCCCGCTGCTCCCCAATGGCTTGCTGCTGCTGACGCTGAAATTACTGCACTCCTAGCCAACCGCACTTACAGCGTTGTGCCCAAACCGCCCGGCTGCACTCCTATCCCTTGCAAATGGGTTTTCAAGGTCAAAGAGAACCCGGATGGGTCCATCGAGCGCTATAAAGCCCGTTTGGTCATTAAAGGCTTTAAGCAACGTGAGGGCATTGACTACACTGAGACATTTGCACCCACCATTCGCTTTGCTACGCTTCGCTTGCTCCTCACCCTTGCTGCTGCCCTTGATCTTGAGATGCATCAACTCGACATCTCCAATGCCTTTCTCAATGGCGACCTTGACGAGATTAATTACATGACCCAACCACCCGGTTTTGAACTCCCTCCTGCCAACGGCTCTCCTCAAGTTTGCCTCCCGCACAAGCCCTTGTACGGCATCAAGCAGGCTCCTCAGTGTTGGTACAAAAAACTGAAATCGGAGCTTCTCACATTTGGCCTTCACACCTCCGCTGCCGACCCCGGACTTTTCATTGCTGCACCCTCCTCACCTCTTCTTCCACATCCTTCCCACTTCTTCCTTGTCCTAGTCTATGTCGACGATCTCATCATCCTTTCCACCACCATCACTCCCCTTACCACCTTCAAGACTTCTCTGTCCACTCGCTTCAAACTTCGTGACCTTGGCCCATTAACTTATTACCTCGGCCTCCACTTAGACCGCGACCGCTCTTCTCGAACCCTCCTCATCCACCAGTCCAAATTTATTTCTGCACTCCTCTCTACCTTCAATCTCAGCCACGCCAACCCCAGCCACACCCCCATGGACTCTAAGCTCCTCCTTCCAACACGCTCCTTATTGCCACCCTCTGAACCCTTCCCATATCCCTCTTTAGTCGGCTCTCTCATGTACGCAATGGTTGCCACTCGCCCTGACATAGCCCATTCTACTGGACTCCTTTCACGTCACCTCCATTCTTGGTCGGATCCTCATTGGCTGGCTGCTAGACGTGTTCTCCGTTACCTCAACAGGACTTCTTCCCATGGGCTGCTTCTTGGTGGCAATCCCGCCTCCCTCCAGCTGGTCGGGTATTGTGATGCCTCATGGGCTTCCGAAAGTGAGGATCGTCGTTCCCTCACTGCATACCTGTTTTTTCTGGGACCTTCTCTGATTTCTTGGCAATCCAAGCGGCAATGTGTGGTTGCGACATCCTCTTGTGAAGCTGAATACTACGCGCTTGGTGCGGCAACCCACGAAGCCCTTTGG